ATCATAATTAAGACTTGAGGCTAACTAACACAGTACAAAATAAAAGATTAAAGCTATAATATTATAAAAGTATAAACAATTTGGTCTTTTCCAAAAATTTAAGATGTGCCTAACAATAAACTCAAGACAAAAGTCATTTAATCTCACAATGAGCCACAATGAGAAAAAGACATTCAAGAGTTTTTAAGTTGAATAACTATTGTTATACTAATAAAAATAAGGGAGAAGTGTTTAGACAAGCAGTTAAGATGTTCTCATCCCACATCACAGTACCTGGGTTCAATTCTTGTTTCCAGTTCGCAATCCCAAGTTCCTGCTAACACAACCCTAGGAGACTGAGTTCCTGACATCCATGTGGGAGACCTGGATTGTGTTCAGCTCCTGGTTTTGCTCCTGACAGAGCCCTTGTCACTGTAGATATCTGGGAGTGCATCTGTAGATGGTGTGAGCTCTTGTGCTCTTGAAAACACACACAAACACATACATACACCCCCTCTCCCTATCTCTTTCTGCTACTTAATTTAAAAAAAAAAATTGTTCCATTATTTTAAAAAATCAAAATAAGTTCTGGTAGAAAATGATTTTTCCTTAAAAGTAAGCATACATACAGCAATAACAGTAATTACTATCACAGGTGCTTTAAGAATTGAAACACACAGAACACATATAGAAATAACTGGGGAAAATATAATACATAAACAATCGGTTGATAAGTCACCCCAAAGCAAAACTTAGTAAGTTGTTAATTTTATAGAATCAAAATAATTAAAAGGAAAGAACAATCATCTACTAGCTTAACTGGGCTCAGAAATCAAATTATGTTTCCATATTTACTAAGAAAAAATTTTTTACAAAATTGAACTAACCAAAACTTAAGTAAAATCTGTTAAAATCAGATATGCCATTATAATGAAATTCTAGAGGTGATGCTAGGAAAAGGCACAGGATAGGACTATATGCAATAAAATTATCTTCCTTCAAGAAATACCTTCCAAGTATTTTTTATATCAAAGGAAGTCTTATAAAATATACAATATATGTGGAACACTAAATCACATTGTAATCATTACTTTTCCAAATCTGAATTAAGAGTCTAAAGTAACAGGAAGAGTCTCCAGAAGACAAATATTTCAATGCACAGCAAAACTAACCTAAGGGGATAAAAATCAGTGTAGTGTCTGCCCTTGGGAAACCTGGCTCAAAATCAATACAAAGGGCCAGCGCCATGGCTCAACATGCTAATCCTCCACCTGTGGCGCCGGCACCCCGGGTTTTAGTCCCAGTTGGGGCACTAGGTACTAGTCCCAGTTGCTCCTCTTCCAGTCCAGCTCTCTGCTGTGGCCTGGGAGGACAGTGGAGGATGTGCCAAGTGCTTGGGTCCCTGTACCCACAAGGGAGACCGGGAGGAAGTACATGGCTCCTGGCTTCGGATCCGAGTAGCACCAGCTGTAGCGGCCATTTGGGGAGTGAACCAACATAAGGAAGACCTTTCTCTCTGACTCTCTCTCTCTCACTGTCTATAACTCTTTCTGTCTCTCTCTAGCTCACTATCTAACTCTGTCTGGCAAAAAAAAACAAAAAATCAATACAAAGGAACAAAGGAACTTTTTGGGATGTTGATAATGCTCTATCTTTAATGGAGTGCTGGTGACACAATACATACATTTGCCAAGATTCACAGAACTCACTGAAATCTATGAACTGTTATCTCAATAACAGTACTTAAAATTTTAAAAAGTAGTAGATACATACATAAAATGCCACGGTATAAACTAGAAGTGGGTTACATGGAACATACCTAGAACCAAAGGAAACAGGATATACTTAAATCTGAATTAACAGCAACTTCAACAGACAGTTGATGCACATCAACTTGCCTTAAAATACAATACTAGAAAAATGGTAAACATTTTCAGGAAAAAATTCATTTATACTCAGTAATAACCACAAATTTATTTACTCAGTAGTAAATTTAGCAATCAATTAATTCATCACAGCAGATTAGCTAGGAGGCTAAATTGGTTAAGATCAGAAAGATACTCAAGGCAGCAATACTGAGGGTTTTGTATAATGAACAAGTAGACTAAACTAAAATTTACTGAGTGTTTAAAATATTCCAGGGCCGGGCCAGCGCCATGGCTCACTAGGCTAATCCTCCGCCTTACGGCGCTGGCACACCGGGTCCTAGTCCCGGTTGGGGCACCAGATTCTGTCCCGGTTGCCCCTCTTCCAGGCCAGCTCTCTGCTGTGGCCAGGGAGTACAGTGGAGGATGGCCCAAGTGCTTGGGCCCTGCACCCCATGGGAGACCAGGATAAGTACCTGGCTCCTGCCATCAGATCAGCGTGGTGCGCCGGCCGCAGCACGCCGGCTTCGGCGGCCATTGGAGGGTGAACCAATGGCAAAAGGAAGACCTTTCTGTCTGTCTCTCTCTCTCTCATTGTCCACTCTGCCTGTCAAAAAAAAAAAAAAAAAAAAAAATTCCAGGGCCGGCGCCGTGGCTCAATAGCCTAATCCTCTGCCTGCGGTGCCGGCACAACGGGTTCTAGTCCCGGTCGGGGCGCCGGATTCTGTCCCGGTTGCCCTTCTTCCAGGCCAGCTCTCTGCTGTGGCCCGGGAGTGCGGTAGAGGATGGCCCAAGTGCTTGGGCCCTGCACCCGCATGGGAGACCAGGAGAAGCACCTGGCTCCTGGCTTCGGATCAGCGCGGTGCGCCGGCCACAGCGTGCCGGCCACAGTGGCCACTGGAGGGTGAACCAACGGTAAGGGAAGACCTTTCCTCTGTCTCTCTCTCTCACTGTCCACTCTGCCTGTCAAAAAATAAATAAATAAAAAATAAAATACTCCAGGAACTATCCTAAATACTTCACCCATATTAATTCATCTTAACTACAGAAATAGGCACTATTACTGCTCTCATTTTACAAATGACAAAACCAAAGCATCCTGAGGTTTAAGTGTCTTGATGAGATCATAAAAGGTCTAACTCTGCTGGTCTAACTCTAAGGACAACCCTCTTAATTACTTTTTTTTGCTGCCTCTCTGGAATTAGTTGTCTTAAAATTTTCTAGGCTGTAATAAATATTGTACTCTATATAGCTGCTCACCTCAAGGATCATGCTATTCAAATCTGAACAGCTTACGTGAGAAAAATAGTATCTCTGCAATTCTGAATTGTTCAAGGATTCCAAGTTTTATCCTTAATTACAGGAAATATTAAAAAGGCAATATAGTCTATATAGTCTCTATAATCCATGACAAATGCCAAGTTTTATATATTTTTTTTTTTTTTTGACAGGCAGAGTGGACAGTGAGAGAGAGAGACAGACAGAAAGGTCTTCCTTTTGCCGTTGGTTCACCCTCCAATGGCCCCCGCGGCCGGCGCACTGCAGCCGGCGCACCGCGCTGATCTGAAGGCAGGAGCCAGGTGCTTATCCCGGTCTCCCATGGGGTGCACGGCCCAAGAACTTGGGCCATCCTCCACTGCACTCCTGGGCCATAGCAGAGCACTGGCCTGGAAGAGGAGCAACTGGGACTAGTACCCAGCACCCCAGCCAGGACTAGAACCTGGGGTGCCGGCGCCGCAGGCGGAGGATTAGCCTATTGAGCCGTGGCACCAGCCACCAAGTTTTATATTTTCAAGCTCTACCTCACAGTTTCCTAAATTTTAAGATCATGACATCTGTTATCACAATTGCTACATTGATATTACTAAGAACATTATCTTATATGTGTCCAACAAGTTCTGCTTCTTTGATATAACTTAGTATGTTTTCTCTTCCAGGATCTTGAAACTGTATAAAACAATCATGTTTTCTTCATGTCTTAGCCAGCAAACAGCTCAAAAACTAATTTAAGATGGAACCAAATAAAATTACATTTGACTTTATACCCTGAATGTGTACCTAGTCTATCTTTTTTACCCTTACCTCACTCCATCCATGCAAATTTTTGTGCATTTTGTTGTTTTCTGATTCTACAGAGAGGTATGCATGCAAATCAAGGAGGTACAACCCCATACAGTGGGCCTCTCCATTTACATGGGCCCTGAATCCCAGACTAAACCAACCACAAATGGAAAATATTTGTGGAAAAAAACTGTACTTGTACTAAAACACATTAAGTTTTTATTTTTTTCTCTCTCCTAAACAATACAGTCTAACAGCTATTTATACAGTATTTACATCTTAATAGGTATTATAAGTTATCTACAGATTAAATTGTCAACAGAATGTATATAACTTATATGTAAACACTATACCATTTTATATAAGTGACTTGAGCACTGCAGATTTTGGTATCCATAAGGAAGCCCTAGAAACAGTCTCCCCAGGATACTGAATGACAACTTTATATTTATGTATTTCATACTTTAAACTGACTCAATGTTATTTCAAAAGGACTTACATAGGACAATTTCATTATGAATTATAAAATAACACTAGTAAAAATAATCATTTTTGTTTTAGCAGCCAACCTTAAGGATTAGAAAGCAAAACTATGAGAGTTGAAGACTCACACTGAACAAACAGCAAACTCTTAAAATTACAAACTTATCTCTAACAACGCTAAACCACTCTAAACATCTGTTCACTGGACTGGCTTAAATCTGCTATACCTGAACTGAAAATCAAGAGCACCTCTGTACAACAGGGAACTCATTCAAGTCACTTTTTAGACCAGGGGTGGTATTTTCTTTACCCTGGCTCCCTCTATTGACAGAAAAATAAAATTAGAGAATTATACAGGCAAATTCCACCAACACAAGGAAAAGTATTTTTTAAATACTCCCAAATCAACATTTTAAATAAAAATAGATTAAAACCTGACTTTACCATAGACCCAAGAGATAAACATAAAAATTAAACTGACAGCTCAAGCAACATTCAAATTTCACACGTGATCCATGCATTTCAATATACATCTTTTATCCTTAGATACAGGAAGGGCTAAATGTTCTTAAACCATATTAAGTATTTTTAATAACCTCTTGTTAAGTTTACCTGTATCTGTTCTGGTGTCCATTGATCTAGGTTGACTGACTTGACCCTGGATATATGAACCCCAAGATTTCTATGAATTCCAGCACATCTGATGCAAATAAATACACCAATATTCCAGGAAGCCCATCGAGGACCTATTTAAGGAAAAGAAGCAAAGAAAAGCAAATGTTAAAAGATAACATAATAAACATCATGATGATATATTAGAAGCATTCTTATTTTTAATACAATTATAGTAGAAATTTACAAAAACCATATGCTCAAATTTTCAGTGCAGAGGGACTTGATAAGACATGCCTTAGCTACACTGAAAAGTCATAAATCAATGTTCAATAACATTAATCAATTTACTAACTTTGCTTTTCTAGAATACTGTCTCTAAAATTTGAATTTTAATTTACGTGAACAATATTTTTCACAGAATAATCTGAATCAGTACTAGTAATATCCCATGTAAATAGTAAGTTATTTATCAAATGGAAAAACAGTGCCTAAAAGATTAACAACAGAAATCAAACAAAAGCATTCAGAAAAATAAACACAGAAATAAATAAAACTGGGGCCAGCATTGTGGTTAATAGGTAAAGCCACGGCCTGTGATGCCAGCATCTCACTGGGTGCCAGTTCGAGTCCCAGCTGTTCCATTTCCTTCTGGCTCCCTGCTAATATAACTAGAAATGCAGCAGAGGATGGCCCAAGTGTTTGGGTCCCTGTCAACCATGGTAGGAAAACTTGAAGAAGCTTCTAGCTCCAGACCAGCTCAGCTCCTGCCACTGAGGCCATTTTCTCTGTCTTTCCCTAAGACTCTGATTTTCAAATAAACAAATAATCTTTAAAAAAAAAAAAAAAAAAAAAAGAAAGAAAGAAAGAAAAAGACAATCAACAATATGACTGGGTAATTCACAGACGATTTATATGCCACGAAACATAAAAATATGTACAACTGTAGTGGCAATTAAGGAAAATGCCCTTTAAAAGTATAATATCTCCTACTTTGCATCCAACAGATTGATTTAAAAAGAAAAAGTAATATGTTAGTACTATGTGTTGGTGAAATGAGAAACAAGACTGTCTTAAAAAGTCGTAAAAAGTCTCCTAGCAGAGAGCTGGATCAGAAGTGGAGCAGCCGGAACCCCAACCACGCCCATATGGGATGCCAGCACTGCAGGCAGTGGCTTTACCCACTAGGCCACAGCACTGGCCCCATCTCATTTCTAAAACTTATAACAACTTAAAACATTTAAAACAATGTATTCTGAAGCTCACACAGAAATCTAAAAAGGAAGTAGTCACAAACAGAGAAAATAGCTGGAGGGTTTAATTTTTTTTAACAGCTAAGTAACTGCAACAAGAAATGTCGCAGAAGCTCTACAGAACATACACATCATCTGGGGAAATCATGAAAATAGAGTCTGTTTCTGCAGCCCTCACAGTGGCATGTGAGATTCTGCATTCCCTCTATGTTTCCAGTTATGACCATTCTGGCATGCATACATCCCTTAAAACAGCACATTCCAGATTAATCTCGACAGTCTAAAAAGCAAGCATTCAGCATATAGTAGTCAGCCCTTATCCACAGGATATATTCCAAGACTACAAGTAGATGACTGAAACTGCAGATAGTACCATATCCTAAATACACTATAGTTTTCTATGTAAACACACCTATGACAGTTTAATTTATAAATTATTCATAGTAAGAGATCATCAACAATAACGAATAATTACAATATAGTCCATTAAGCCTATGACTTTTATTTTCTGATTATAGTTTCTCTCTCAAAATATCTCACTGTATTGTATTCATTCTTCTTGGGAAAATGTGGGATATTTAAATAAAGTGCCATAATGCTTTGAGGCTATTACTGAGTAAAATAAGAGTTACTTCGACATATGCACCACAATACCATAATACTGGATCTTTTAACAGACAGCTTCTATGTGACTAACAGTCAAGTAGCACACATACAATGGATAAACGGATAATTCACTTCTGAGTAGGGTGATGTGAGAGAAGAAAAGATTACAGTACACTAGTCAGAATGGTACACAATTTAAACGTTAACCATTTGTTTTGAAAAATTTTCCTTTTAATAATTCTGGACAAAAATATACTCTAGGTAACTGAAACTGCAAAAAGCAAAACCATCAATAAAGGGAACTATTGTACTTCCTGATCTGTTTTCATATGCCTGTTAAGGGACTAATAAATGTGGAGGCAATAAGAAGGGAAACAGGCAACTTAAGAAGCATCAGGAAGAAATGACAGGACTCAGTGAAAGACAATACAGTGACAAACAAGGTAGAGATCAAAACATCTGAAATTATGCACCTGGGATTTAAAGCACAAAGTTTCTTATAGAGTCAGAAAACTGACTTTTGATACAAAAATGTCCAGTAGGTAATTAAGAATATAAGACTAAAGTTCAAACTGGAGATACAGATATGAGTACCTTCTTCAAGATCATAGTTATAAGAATTCTACCACTGAAACACCAATGCCTAAAATTTGTAATCAACCAAGGTGTCCACCATCAGATGAACAAAGAAAATGTGGCGTATGAATGTGTATATATAGATATATATATATACATGTAAAATGTATGTGTATATATATAATGGAATACTGTTCAACTATTAAAAAAATGAAATTCTACCATTTGCATCAAAATGTTTGGAACTGGAGGACAACATGCTGAGTGAAACAAACCAGATACAGAAAGTACCACAAGTTCTACCTTAGAAGTGGGAACTAAAATGAATGAATGAATGAACCTGTAGGTATCAGCACTGCTGCAAATACAGTTTTGCAAAATTCTGCTTTATACTTCTGTCAAACCAATGGTAAAGAAAGTTATGATACTACTACAGTTTTAATGATTTAAGATTAAAATTTACTGTATATGAATGAAAGTAATTTTTCAATGTAATTACTGTTCATAGTCATTGCCTATATTCCCACTAAACTAGGGCCTTTTTGCTTTTTACTTATTTCATGAAGCAGTAAGCCTTTTTACTGTAATATAAATTTAAAATATGTCAACTCAAAAACTAAAAAAAGAAAGGGAGAGGGAAGGAGTGTGGCAGGGAAGAAAGAAGGGAATATCATTATATCTTCAGAATCTATAAACATATTGAATGTTAAAAACTAATTAAAATTTTAAAAATAAAATTAATTGTATAATCCAGATTAAATTTAAAAAGATGACATTAGCAGTTCCAAGAACAAAGAGGAGAAAAAGAGTAAGAAGCCTTAGGCGGAAAACGAAAAGCTATATAAACACAAAATCAAAGGAGGAAATTTTGAAGAAAAGACAGATGGGGCCAGCGCTGTGGCACAGTGGGTAAAGCCACTGCATGTGATGCTGGCATCCCATGTGGGCACCGGTTCGAGTCCTGGCTGTTCCTCTTCAGATCTGGTTCTCTGCTATGGCCTGGGAAAGCAGTGGGGGATGGTCCAAGTGCTTAGGCCCCTGCACCCTCATGGGAGATACAGAAGCTTCTGATTCCAGGCTCCTGGCTTCAGATCGGCTTAGCTCCAGCCATTGCAGCCATTTGGGGAGTGAACCATCAGATGGAAGACCTCTCTCTCTCTCTCTGTCTTTCAAATAAATAAACAAATTTAAAATAAAAGAAAGAAAAGATGGCTGACAGTGTCAAAAGTTTCAGAGAAGTCAAGCAAAATGGAACTAGGTACATATACTTCTTACTAGGAAAGAACATCTGGACGTGATAACTCCAGTAACTGAGAGGTTAGGCAGAAAGAGGGAATCTATCTATCCTGAATTCTATTGTCAGATTAAACTCAACATTTCAGTCTCCAACTCCAAACTTTTAATAGTTTAACAGTTTCCTATTTTCTTCGATACTGTTTTCATGACCATCTTGACCCTTCTTAAATTAACTTTATTTTGTTTAACTCCAACTTAAAGTAGTCTAAAAGCAACAGATTCCTTGCTTTCCCTTGTTACAACTCCATTATCCTATCTTGGCACTTTTCCAGCCCACCATTTCCCTGCCTAGAAGTTTCTGTCTATAGACAGTAGGAAAGTGGGGCCTGTGTTATAAGCACAATAGGTTAAGCTGAAGCTTGCAATGCCCTCATCCCACACTGTCGAGGCCGCAACTAGAGACAAGAGAGAAAAACAAGATGCCTGAGGAGGGCAGATATCCTAATCTCTGTTTACTGAAACCCCCCATTCAAGTTCCCCACACTGTCTGGGAATTCCCCAATCTCTTCCTCACAGCTGTTGATGTCTGGGTAGGTGTCCTAATCTCTTGTCACATCCCATAAGTGTATTCAAGTTCCTCAGGAGTAGTCCTGAGTCACACAGGCTGCAACCAAGCCCACCAATGCTGTGGGCTGTTAAAGCATGGAGCTGACAAACCTATAAATATTGTAAGAAACCTTCACCGGGCACTCAGTCTTGGGAAGCAATTCCACAGCGCTCGTCGATATTAATAAACTGTTTCTGACCCTCTACTCAGTCTCTGTTCAAACTAAGGGAATTTCTCCAATCAAGCTTTCTACAACAGGATAAGTGTCATTTCAAGTTCCAGCTTCAACACTATTTTTTTTTAACTTTTATTTAATAAATATAAATTTCCAAAGTACAACTTTTGGATTATAGTGGCTTTCCCCCCATAACCTCTCTCCCACCATCAACCATCCCATCTCTCACTCCCTCTCCCATCCCATTCTTCATCAAGATTCATTTTCAATTATCTTTATATACAGAAGATCAACTTAGTCTAAGTAAAGATTTCAACAGACTGCACCCACACAGACACACAAAGTATAAAGCACTGTTTGAGTACTAGCTTTACCATTAATTCGCATAGTACAACACATTAAGGACAGAGATCCTACATGGGGAGTAAGTGCACAGTGATTCCTGTTGTTGAATTAACAATTGACACTCTGATTTATGAAGTCAGTAATCACCCGAGTCTCTTGTCCTGAGTTGCCAAGGCTATGGAAGCCTCTTGAGTTCACAAACTCCGACCTTATTTAGACAAGGCCATAATCAAAGGGGAAATTCTCTCCTCCCTTCAGAGAAAGGTACCTCCTTCTTTGATGGCCCGTTCTTTCTACTGGGATCTCATTCACAGAGATCTTTCATTTAGGTGTTTTTTGTTTTTTGTTTTTTTTTTTTTTTGCCTCAGTGTCTTGGCTTTCCATGCCTAAAATACTCTCATGGACTTTTTTTGCCAGATCCCAATGCCTTAAGGGCTGACTGTGAGGCCAGAGTGCTGTTTAGGACATCTGCAATTCTATGAGTCTGCTGTGTATTCTGCTTCCCATGTTGGACTGCTCTCCTTTTTAATTCTATCAGTTAGTATTAGCAGACATTAGTCTTGTTTATGTGATCCCTTTGACACTTAACCCTATCATTATGATCAATTATGAACTTAAACTGATCACTTTGACTAGCAAGATGGCATTGGTACATGCCACCTTGATGGGACTGATTTGGAATCCCCTGGCACGTTTCTAACTCTACCGTTTGGGGCAAGTCCAATTGAGCATGTCCCTAACTGTACATCTCCTCCCTCTCTTATTTCCATTCTATTTAACAGGGATCACTTTTCAGTTAAATTTAAACGCCTGTGAATAATTCTGTGTTAAGTAAGGCATTCAACTAATGGTATTAAGTAGAACAAAAAAAATACTCATATTAATAAAATAGTAAGTTGTTCCTTGACAGTCAGGACAAGGCTGATAAAGTCATTGTTTCTCATAGTGTCCATTTCACTTCTACAGGTTTCCTTTTAGGTGCTCAGTTAGTTGTCAAAGATGAGGGAGAACATATGATATTTGTCCCTTTGGGACTCGCTTACTTCACTCAGCATGATATTTTCCAGTTTCCTCCATTTAGTTGCAAATGACCGGATTTCTTTTTTTTTTTTACTGCTGTATAATATTCTATAGAATGCATATTCCATAATTTCTTTATCCAGTCTTCTGCTGATGGGCATTTAGGCTAAGTCCATGTCTTAGCTACTGTGAATTAAGCTACAATAAACATTGAGGTGCAGACAGTTGTTTTATTTGCCAATTTAATGTTTATTGCAGCTCAATTCAACACTTCTGATCCAGCTCCGTGCTAATGTGCTTGGGAAAATTAGAAGATGTCCCAAGTACCTGTACCCTTGCTGGCCTAGCCCCAGCAGTTATGGCTATTTGGGAAGTGAACTAGCAGACAGAAGACCCCTGTGTTTCTCCTTCCAACTCTGCCTTTCAAATAAATAAAAATCTTTAAAAAAAAAAAAAAAAAAGAAGGAAAAATGAGGTTTATTGAATGACTAATCACTGTATGTCTAAATAATGTATGTATAAATACAAACAGAATTTTACAGCATCTCAATACACTTCTTACTTTAACATCATTTGAGAAATAAGATGAAATCGCGTGCTCCTCTGAGAAGAAATGTCTCAAATTTTTGATTACCATGACTAACTAGCAAACAAAAGCTCAGTTAAATTCTTTTATAAAAAGAAAATAAAATACAATAGGCAACAGAGAACTTAACACTGTAGGGGAGGCTGAATCTGGAGAGGCCTAGAGGAACTTCCTGAGCCTGCCTCAAATTTGAAAACCTTTCTTTAAGTTTCAAATCCCTGGTGGCAAACACCCCAGCCCCAGGGCGCTTTTGCCTAAGGATCATTAAGGTGGTGTAATAGGAGTAGCTAAGACCCTTTTGCATCACATCAGCCCGCATCCATTCATCTGCTCATCCGCTCTCTACCATCCCCTCTGTACCTCAGCTATATATACACTTCCCTTTTACAATAAAGTGAGACCCTGCTTCGACTGGGCTCCCCACCAGACCTGATTGTCCCCCGGGTTTGGGGAAGGCTGAGTGGCGGGTGGCCCACTTTCCCTCCTTGGTCAAGGCAAGCTGCGGGCAGCCTGCCTAATTCTCTGGCGGTGGCGAGGAACAGTCACCGCGTAACACCAACTGCTAACTGCAGTTTTCTTGTAGAACTCATTTCTCTGTATCGCTTTCTCTAATCCCCCAACAACATCTTAAGTAACATTCATTAAAATGATTTACAGTTATATGCTTTAGCTATCTTTTCTGAAAAATGGTGAACTCTTTAAAAAGAGGGCCTTCATGTTACTGGGTTCCATATGCTCTGTACCCAGCACGATGTCTGGTATAAAAATTTAGGTAGTCTTCAGCAAATGATAGCTAAGACACTGATCCATATATGTTACTGCTGCCAAATTACCAGGAATATTTAAGACATCATTCATCATATTTACAGATACACGGTCTTCTTTAATCCTAATGAACATGTAAGGCAAGCAACACTACCACCCCATTTTAGAAACTGAGAAACTTAGAAAGCAGGAACAAGAGAGTTAAGACCATGCAATGAATGGACGGACAGATCTCCAAATGCAACCATAAACACTTTATCTCCCTTGCTATGTCAATTCTATCATTCCAAACAAAATTCCCATACTGGTTGAATGGTTTTACTCTATTTTGCCAATTTTTGAAATGCCAAGTCATCTATTGCTGAAACAAATAACAAAGATTTAAAAACAACTAGTTTTTTCAGCTCTCTAAAATATCAATTCTTCCTCTATTGTTACACATCTGTTCTTTCCTCATAATCCCCAGATTACAAGAAAGGAATTTGTTTTGGTTTTATTTGTTGGAAAGAGGAGCTGCAAAGGACAGAAAATTTTGCTAAAAGGTGAAGAGCAGGCAAGAGGAGGGTAAAATCATTGATATACAAAGGCTAAATCTCAAGGCAGCATCATAATAGGGTAATTCTTAAGGCAACATCATGTCAATCAATGCCTAGGAAAGGGGACATGGACCAAAAAGCAAATGATCCCAAAGAGAACTACCTGTATCAAACCTTTTTGCAAAGCCAAGCATGAAATTAGAAAGAACCCTTTTCTTTCCCTACCACAAACCCACCTTTTTCTTTTTCTTTTTCTTTTTTTACTATAATCAAACACAATTTTTATTTTTTTCCCCAGAAGCCTTTTATTTAAGGTTTACAAACTTGGGGCCAGTGCTGTGGCATAAGGGGAAAAATGCCACCTGCAGTGCCAGCATCCCATATGGGTGCCGGTTCATGTCCTGGCTGCTCTACTTCTGATCCAGTTCTTGTTAGTGCCTGGGAAAGCAGTGGAGGATGGCCAAAGTGCTTGGGCCCCTGCACCTGCGTGGGAGACCCAGAACAAGCTCCTGGCTCCTACCTTTGAATTGCCGCAACTCCAGCTATTGCGGCCAAATGGGCAGTGAACAAGCGGATAGAAGACCTCTCTTTCTGCCTCTCCTTTTCTCTCTGTGTAACTCTTTCAAATAAAAAAAATAAATCTTTATTTAAAAAAAAGGATTTACAAACTTCATGCATTTCATAAATACAACTTTAGGAACATAGTGATTCTTCCCACACTCCCTCCCACCATTCTTCCTCCTCCCTCCCTCTCCTTTTCCCATTCTTATTTTTTTACTAAGATTTATATTCAATTAACTTTATACACATAAGATTAACTCTATACCAAATAAAGAGGTCAACAAATTGTATGGAAAAAAACTGTTCCTCAACAGTCAAGACAAATTTGGATTTCCTCTTTTGAAAAATGCCTATTCAAGTCCTTTGCCCATTTCTTAGATTGTTTGTTTTATTCTTGAGTTTCTTGAGCGCCTTACATATTCTAGGTATTAATATTCTATCAGTTGCATAGTTTGCAAATAATTTCTCCTATTCTGTGGGCTGCCTCTTCACTTCCCTGAGTGTTTCTTTTGCAGTGCAGAAGCTTCTCAATTTGATGTAATTCCATTTGTCAATTTTGGTTTTCACTGCCTGTGCCTCTGGGGTCTTTTCCAAGAACTCTTTGCCTATGCCAATGTCTTGCAGAGTTTCCCTAATGTTCTCTGATAATTTGATGGTATTGGGTCATAGATTTAGGTCTTTGATCCATTCTGAGTAGATTTCTGTGTAAGGTGTAAGGTAGGGGTCTTGCTTCATACTTATGCATGTGGAGATCCAGTTTTCCCAGCACCATTTGCTGAAGAGACTGTCCTTGCTCCAAGGATTGATTTTACTTCCTTTGTCAAAGGTAAGTTGCTTGTAGATGCATGGGTTGACTTCTGGAGTTTCTATTCTGTTTCACTGGTCTACCCATCTATTTTTGTGCCAGTACTAGGCTGTTTTGATTATAACTTTCCTATAATATGTCTTGAAATCTGGTACTGTGATGCCTCTGGCTTTGTTTTTGTTGGATAAGATTGCTTTAGCTACTCAGGGTCTCCTATGTTTCCATATGAATTTCAGCATCATTTTTCATAGTTCTGAGAAGAATGTCCTTGGTATTTTGAATAGTATCACACTGAATCTGTAAATTGCTTTCAGTAATATGGGCATTTTGATGATACTGATTCTTCCAATCCATGAACATGGAAGATTTTTCCATTTTTTGTCTTCTCTTTATTTAATGTTTTATAATTCTCAGGTGACAGATCTTTGATGTCCTTGGTTAAATTTATTTTAGGGTACTTAATTTTTCTGTAGCTATTTTGAGTAGGAAAACTCATTGTTCTTTAACCAAGAGTACTAACTAGCCCTTCCTTGCTCGTGATCAGCTATGTTTTAAATTGGGTTCACTTGTGGACCACCAGGAGAACCCAGCAAGAATGCAAGAAACATGTTTTCCACATTATAAACAACTTAATGACAAAGTGACAAAAATATCTGGGGGACCAGGAGAGGAAACTCAAAGTGACTACAAACAAACTTGAGGGATCTTTTTGGAGTGATGAAAAGATTCTGAGAAGTCCAAAGACTACCAAATAAGATAAATCCAAAGAAATCTACAGAAAGACATACTATAATTAAACCGCTAAAATCTAATGACAAACAGAGAATTTTGAAATTAGCCAGGGGCCAGCGTTGTGGTGTGGCAAGTAAGGGCACAACCTGTGATGCTGGCATCCCATGCCAGTCCCTGTCCCAGCTGCTCCACTTTCAATCTAGCTCCCTGCTAACGGCCTGGGAAAAGCAGCAGAAACTGGCCCACGTCGTTGGGTCCTTGCCACCCATGTGGGAGAACCAGAAGAAGCTCCTGGCTGCTGGCTTTGGATTGGCGCAGCTCCAGCCGTTGTGGCCATTTGGGGAGTGAACCAATGGAAGGAAGACCTTTCTCTTTTTCTCCCTCTCACTGTCTGTAACTCTACCTCTCAAATAAATAAATAAAATCTTTGGAAAAAAAAGAAATTCAAAAGGTAGTTCTTCAAGTTGAAATGAAAGGAGACTAAAAAATATGTATTTTTAACTTATAAAAAGTATTAAACTCACTGGCAAAGACAAACATGTAGGCAAAAAGAATTATATTTTATGACCATAACAGTGGTAGGTAAACTGACTGCCATCCTATTATAGAGCATAAAAGACAAAAATCTAAAAATTAACTATAGAGGATGGCATTGTGGTGCAAATAGTAAAGCCCCTCTCTCAGATGCTGGTTCGAGTCCCAGCTGCTCCACTTCTGATCTAGCTTCCCGCTAATGGCCTCAGAAAGCAGCAGAAGATGGCCCAACTACTTGGGCCCCTGCCAATCAAGTGGGATCTGGATGGAGTTCAATCCAAGTCCCTGGTTTCTAGTCTGGCCCAGCTCCAGCATTTCTGTTCAAACAAATTTTAAAAAATAAATGAATAAATAAGTCAAAATAGTTCATTTGTTAAAGTTTTGTTTTCCGCACAGCAATAGTAAGACTATACTCAATAGCTGAATTCAGAGCACAATTTTGCCCAACATTTCTTTATCTCTCTCTCTTCTTTTTTTTTTTTTTAACATTTATTTACTCATTTGAAAGTTAGAGGCACAGAGGGAGAGGAGAGACAGAGGTTTTTCATCTACTGGTTTTACTCCCCAAATGGCTGCAACAACCAGGACTGTGCCAAGCCAAAGCCAGGAGCCAAGTGCTTTATCCAGTCTCCCATGTTTGTGGCAGAGGTCCAAACACTTTGGCCTTTTCCTGCTGCTTTCCCAGGCCACTAAAAGGGAGCTGGATCAGAAGCAGAGCAGACAGGACACGAACCAGCTTACACATGGGACACTGATGTTGCAGGCAATGGCTTTACCTGCTACATCAACATTCCTTCTAACTTAAAAAAAGGTTTTTAAATAGATTAATATAAAATTCTTATTTAGTATAAATAATTTATGTTCAACATTTATTGTTACAAAAATAATAAATCATATTCTCTGTCTCAGGTAATTCATGAAAATTCTAGCAGCTAAAATTTAGCCTATATTCACTTCATTAAACTGAAATAAAGTTCAAATGCTCCATTTTCTGTGATGAAAATATGGCACAATCCCACAAACTCAAATTCTAACACAAGGTAATTAGAATAGTTACTTAAAGTTAATCGAACATTACAAAAACTAACTTCAACAAGAAAAGTCATTAATGTCAAAAGCAGCTAAAACGCAGAAACTGTGGGTAAGATCATAAGAAAACACAGAGCAACAAAGAAAGGCAAACATATTTCACAAAAAACTACAGAGCTCTATTCCTAAACCAAAAAATTTTTCTAGTATTATCTTAATGGCTATGATTAAATTTCAGAAACTATTGGACATTGGTTTATTTAATATACCTTGGGGCTACCCATTAGCAAATCATTTATTCCATTTTTTCTTTCCTTCCTGAATTCTAGATCCCATTTCTTATTATACTTTGATGTCAAAATTCTAACAATACTCATAATTTAGAAAATGGTGTGGGTATATTAATTTGGATTAACTGTGAGTGCCATCTGGTGGTACAACAAAGGCTTAAAATACTCTTCAATTTAAAGGCATTTTTAAATGCAAATAGGCTTACATAATTTTTCAATTTTTAATTATAAAACTCCTTCAAATGTTAAGAAAAGCAAAAAGAATACAATAAATCATGCATATAAACCCACTTTAACTCTTTAACTTCTATTTTAAACAGATCCTGCAGTGATTTGCCATATCACCCATTCGGCAGCAAGATACAAGTATCTCAAAGAAACAATTAAATATGATAGGCTTGGTCCATATGAAATCATAAGGCAAGACAATATCAAGAACTGTTTTATCAATAAACATGATCTTCAATAAAAATAAGAAATTAGTTCACTGGTTTTAACTTTAAATGAAATGGGGCCGGTGCTGTGGTGCAGTGGGTTAAAGCCCTAGCCTGCAGCACTGGCATCCCATATGGGTGCCGGTTTGAGTCCCGGCTGCTCCACTTCCAATCCAGCTCTCTGCTATGACCTAGGAAAGCAGTAGAAGATGGCCCAAGTCCTTGGGCCCCTGTATACAGGAGGGAGACCTGGAGGAAACTACTGGCTCCTGGCTCCGGATCTGCATAGCTCCAGCCGTTGCAGCCATCTGGGGAGTGAGCCAGCAGATGGAAGACCTCTCTCTCTCTCTGCCTCTCCTCTCTGTGTATAACTGTGACTTTTAAGTAAAACAAATAAATCTGTTTTTAAAAAATATCTTTAGGGGCTGGCACTGTGGCTCACTTGGCTAATCCTCTGCCTGCGGTGACAGCAGCCCTATGAGCACTGGGTTCTAGTCCTGTGTGCTGAAATGTGAAGGCCATGCCAAGACGGCCACTGGCAAGCAAGCATCAGTTACTCAGGAATGGCTTTGAAATCCACCTGGCAACAGAGCCTGCCTGGCAACAGGCTGTGATTGGATGGCTTTGGAAACTACAGGGCAACCGGAGCCTGCCTGGCAACAGGCTGTGATTGGATGGTTTTGGATACTGCCTGGCAACAGGCTGTGATTGGTTAGGGCATAAACCGCCCTTTGACCGGATTGGCTACCTTGGCTATTTAAGCCGCTGTACCAACTGAAATAAACGAGTCTGTGGGCTGCTCGCCTCTGGCCAGCTTTTGCCCGACTCCTGGGGTCTGTGTGGTGACTCCACGCCTCTTGCCCCCACCACGCTCCTCCTCTCAGAACAAATCAACCACAACAGTCCTGGTTGCTCCTCTTTCAGTCCAGCTCTCTGCTGTGGCCCAGGAGTGCAGTGGAGGATGGCCCAAGTGCTTGGGCCCTGCACCCGCATGGGAGACAAGGAGGAAGCACCTGGCTCCTGGCTTCAGATCAGTGCAGCGCCAGCCATAGCAGCCATTTAGGGGGTGAACCAACGGAAGGAAGACCTTTCTCTCTGTCTCTCTATATATAACTCTAAGTGTCAAATAAAAATAAATAAAATAAAATAAAAAATATCTTTACATTTAAACTTTGAAGTGAGGGGGTCAGCATTGTGACACAGTAGGTTA